GCCCAGATTCAAAGGAGTAAAACTATGTAGTTTGGACACAAGACTTACAAAAAAAGCTAGAGAGTTAGTGGATAACTTCTCCATTGATCTAATAACACTTGTCAACTGAATATATTGCCGCAATGATGACAAATTTTGGGAAAAGTTTCAGCTGCATTGAAGGTTAGTCCATTACCCAAGTGAAGTACCAACCTTGAGAGTAAATGTTAGGGTATGAACTTTGGCTTTTATTAAATATAGCCTCCGTTTAACCCCCCTTCTCTTTCTTATTCTTTTTCTCTCTCTTATTTTCAACTATATAATTTTTCATAAAATAATATTACACGTAAATTGAAAACTTTTCATTTTTTTTAGTCACACATTTTCAAAAAAACATTATTCCAACCATTAAAATTTGAAAAAATGAGAGCCAAATGAGGACATAATATCTTTAGAGCACCAAGCCCACCCATAAATTTTAAGTCAGACTACTAAGTTCAGTTCGATCTAATGATCGACATAATTCTAGAAGATATAATAATTATATATTCTCTACCATGCTACCAAACTACCTAGCTCACCAATCAATGAGGGACAGTTGGCAAAAATGATGTCTATACCTCCATTTTTCACTAATCAGTTGTTGCAAAACTTAAGTTGGCCAATAAGGAGCTCATTCTACCTATAAATACGGGCAAATGGTCCCCTCCAAAGCCAGAACTCAACCTACCTCATGACTTAGTACCATACACTCACATTCTGCAAATCTCTTTATAAATAAGTTAAGTATGTACTTGCTTTTCGAGGCAATTATCAGTAAATAACACCCTTTTTCCTTTCTTAAAGTTGACCAAGAACTACGATTAATATTTTTTACATCAACATTGCTAGATATCAATTTTGGGACGACAAATGTAAATTGATTAATTCAGGTGAATTAAGGATAAATGAAAAGGGTGTTTTAATTTTTCTTGTTTTGATTGAACAAAATAATAAATTATGTCGTTAGGCATCATGATCAAGTACCTAATGGTCGTACAAAAAAGGAAAATTAGAATAATGATATTTATTAATTAATTATTTGACAAATGTTGAATGATTAATTGATTGGGTTACTTACTAATGGGCCAGTTAATTAATTAGATTAATTAAACATTTGACCAAGTTAAGTTCAAGTGTCTGGCCAATCCCACTTGGACTTCTATTAATAAGATATTAAGGTTGAGAAAATATAACACAATGATTATGTAATGCCCCAAATTTTTTTAAACGCTAGAGTGTTACAAATAACTCAATTTTCTTTTTAATAATTGCAAAACGATTCAAATAAAAAGAAATTCTTTATTTTCCACCATAAATATCAATTTAAAATAAACAACCGAGTTTTTGAACAGATAAAACTAACAAACAATTTAGAGACATAAAAAGAAAACCTAATGTTTAGTTTTCCTTTTACTTGGATCCCCTTGGTAGTCCGCATCACCGATTCACTACAGTTCCAATCGACTTATATTAACTTGAAAAAAATTTGTAAGAGTGAGTATTCAAAACCACCAAATAAGATATGTGCAGTTTCCATACACAATTATATAACAAATAAAATCTACACTTCTTACTACTCTATTCTTATAGAGTTTATCAGTGACCAAACAACACACTCATCTTAGGTCCTCTTATAATTTCGTAGGATTTCATCTCTTTTTTTATAGAACCCGAAGGTCTATCGGCAATCCATGCATATTTAATTGAACATAAAAGCATAAGAAAATGAAAATACTTGCACAAAAGTATCTTACTTCGTTAAATAAAATGAGTATTGAACAAAATGTGAATGCAAGTGCCCAAAATCTTTTCTCTACTTCAATGAATAATGGTTGCAAATTGGCTCCTTGTCTTCTAATTCCCAAAAGTATCTTCCCTCTCTCTCTCTCCCTCTCTTTCTCTCTCTCTCTCTCCCTCTCATGTGTGTGTATAAATTTTTGTGTGATGATAAGAGTGCAAAATATCATAATTTTCCCCTCCTAATTATTGCATTCGTGTTACTATTTGATATCAAAATGTACTCATTATACTTATGCTTTGATTCAAATAGCATTTTGGTAGAAAAGATGAAATTTAGAAGAAAAGAGCGAAAAATGACCAAAATGGAAGAAAGTGAAAGTTCAGGGACCAAGTTGCAAATAATCCATAATGAGACGGGCAATGGAATGATGATTCAAGAAATCTAGGAGTCAATTGGGTGTAATTTGAAGTCAAAAGAAGTGAAGTATGACCAAAATATCTTCACAAATCAATTCCTAATTGAAAAAGTTACGCATCTGTTTTCAACCTTATATTGGGACCTATTTTTGACATGGAAAACGATCGATCTAAAAGATGATGTCTGAATCAAGTTGTAACCCTTTATGTTAACTTTCAAACAAAACTTCAATCACTTCAATCGAATATCGGGAAAGAAAATTATTGTTAAAATACTAAAAGTTGTCCGCGGAGAAAATGGCAATAACCATGCGACTGCATGGTTATAAAGCCATGCGATCGCACAAGCACCTCCAGGGAATTCCAGAGGCCAAAATGTTTCTACCATGCAACCGTAACACTTATTACCATGCGATCGCATGGTTGTTCCTTGAGGCCAAAATTTCTGTTTCCTTAATCGACTCAACCACTTATGGAAACACGGTTTGCACAAGTTTTTAAACCCTAATCTCAACTAGAATGCCTACCATTCATTCTCTATCACTTTTCTTTAGTTTTGGCTCAAGAAATCCATGGAGAACTAAACTTATTGGTGAAGCCATGAAGGAACTTGGTTAGATTTGGAAATTTTCATGTCTTTTCTTGTTTAAATGTGTTCTTTCATTGTTAAACAATTCTAGATGTAGATTTCTTATTCTTATGAACATGTTTTGAGATTGGTTTAATTCGTATTAAATTTTCATGGATTCAATCACGTTTTTTTTAAAGAATAATTGAAGTACTTATTGAATTTCAATCTTAAATCTCCTATTGGTGTGATTCTTTACCATTATATGCTTGATGTATATAATCTCTTTTGGATCTAATTTCAATGGATTATTATGGAATTACATTGTGAAAGAAATATAGATTTGGGGAATTATTGTGGAATTGAATAGGTTTGAGGGTTAAATTTTTCAATTAAAGTGTTGGGATGAAAACCTTTAATTGAGTACTTTCATGCAAAAATTGACATTGATTGAACCAATCTAATCGAGAGAATTCCGGCGCTTCACTATTTCATATATTGATATTAAAGTTTTACTTCAATTTATTTCAATCGACAAATTATTTTCACACAAATTACGACAAAAACCTAAAATTTTGATCCTTTAAAAAATTTTCCATCTCCTTGTGGATACGACACCCCAAAGTTGTACTACAATCATCGCATTAATCTTTGGGCGTAATCAAATTTCGGCACCGTTGTCGGGGAGACGATTCAAATACTTGAAGGATTCTCGAGCAAAAGGGTGACTTCATTTCTTTTTTACATTCTTTTAGTTAGTTTAGTTTATTTTCTTAATTATTTTGTTATTTCTCATTTAATTTAATTTTTTTATATTTTATGGACAGGCTTCAAGACGAGTGAGGGCGATTTATTGCGAGACCTCAACCAATGTTTGAATAACTTTCGAACCCTCTTTTTGATATTGCATATGTTGGTACGAATATCACACTACACAACACAATGTCTGATAGTGATCATGGCGATGCACCCTATAGGACCCTGCATGATTACCTTCACCCCACATGCACATCTACATCGTCATGCATCATATTTCCACCTAATATGCCATGTATGGACCTTAAATCGGGAATGATCTAATTTTTCCCACTTTTCATGGTCTTGAAAATGAAAACCCATACATGCATATTAGGGAATTTGAAGAAGTTGTTGTGACTTTTCACAATCAACGTGGCACAATGGATGCAGAGAGGCTTAAATTTTTCCCATTCTCTTTATGGATGCAGTGGGGCTTAAATTTTTCCCATTCTCTCTTAAAGAAAGAGCAAAAAGCTGGCTATATTCATTAAGACCACGCTCGATTGGGACTTGGGCTGAAATGACTCAAACATTCTTTGGCAAGTACTTTCCCCACCACAAAACAACCGCATTGAAAAAGCAAATATCTTCTTTTACTCAAAAGGAGAGTGAAACTTTATATCAAGCGTGTGAAAGGTACAAAGAATTACAAGCCCTCTGCCCCCACCATGGTTATGAAAGTTGGCGCATTGTGAGTTATTTCTATGAGGGATTATTAACTAGGGAGCGTCAATTTGTTGAAATGATGCGTGATGGGGAATTTTTGCAAAAAAGATGCGGATGAGGCCATAGACTACCTAGATGACTTAGCTGAAAAAGCCCATACCTAGACTGGACCTAGTGCACGGAGAGTACTAATAGGTCACGACCCACTGGAAACCCAAATAACACTGATATTTATCATCTTAGTAAGGAGGATGACCTTAGAGCCAAGATAGATGCTCTTACTAAAGAACTCAAAATCATACGTGCTAGGCACTCAAAGCCTACACAGAATGCATCCCATGTTGAATCTTTAGGATCGTGTTTTGTTTGGTGTGGAACTAATCATCTAGCTCAAGAGTGCGCTACCTACGCTGAGATAAGGGGAGTTATATGAGGAACATTGCAATGCCTTAGGCACATACCAAAAGCCTTATTCTCCCTTTTCTGAAACATACAATTCGGGGTGGGGGAATCACACTAATTTGAGCTGAAAATCTGAAGGCGAGCCAAATAAAACTCACACTGCACTTCCATATCAGTCTACATCCTCTAGAAACTCTTTAGAAGACACTCTACATACATTTACAGAGGCACAGAGTAAGACTAACCAAAAGTTTGAGACTATGATCACCCAAATTGTTGAAGAAAATAAGGAAATAAAATTTATATATCTGAACTAACTAATGCCTTAGCTGTAGGAGAGCATGAAAAATTCTCAGCACAAGCTCAATCGAACCCTAGGGGCTAACACATGGCACAAACTTCAGGATTAGGAGAGACCAACTTGAAGGAAATAAATGCTATAACCACTAGATCTGGAAAGGTTATAGAACCAACCTCCAAACTTAGGGAAAGTGAGAAGGATCCTAGTAGCATAGAAGAGAGCACTCCTAGTGAGGAGGCAGTGAAAAATTCGTCTACAGTGCCCTTTTCTCAAGCCCTCAAGTCGACCTCGAAATCTGCTAGTCAACATAATGAAATCCTAGAACACCTCAGACAAGTCAAAATCAATTTGCCTCTCTTGCATGTGATCTCTCAAGTTCCTACATATGCTAAAGTCCTTAAGGACTTGTGTACTATAAGAAGGAAGTACCATGTCAAAAAAACATCCTTCTTGACTGAACGTGTGAGTGCAGTAATCGAACAAAGAGTCCCGCCAAAGTATAAGGACCTTGGTTGTCCTACTGCTTCTTATATCATAGGGAACCATGAGATTGCACAAGCTCTCCTCGACTTAGGGGCTAGTGTCAACATCATGCCTTATGCTATATACTCGACGTTAGGTCTAGGTGAGATCAAACCTACTATATGGTCCTACAATTGGTTGATTGGTCCACTATTAGACCTAGAGGGATAGTTGAGGAAGTGCTAGTACAGATTGACAAATTTTGTTACCCTATGGATTTTTTGGTTTTGGATGTGAAAGTAGATGTGGATGTTAACTCCAAGATTCCCATTATTCTTGGTAGACATTTTCTCGCTACAACTAATGCTCTTATCAATTGTAGGAATGGTTTGATGAAGCTATCTTTTGGGAACATGACCTTAGATGTCAACATCTTTCACATCATGAAACAGCCTGAGGAAGATGATGAGTGTCGTCAAACATACATGATTGATACACGAGTTGAGGAAGAAGCACATGTGCTTATTGACCCCCAACCCTTTAAATTCTTTCTTTTTAAATTTTGAAATTCCTGCAAGGGATGATAATGGGAAATATGCTGATATTGATGCTACTTTTAATGATTTTTAGGATTATGTGATACCACCGAGTTTGGTGCAATGCGCCGAAAGTTGACAACGCCCTGGCTAGATGCAAGCTGAAGAAGGCAATATTAGGTCGAGCCAATGACAATAAACAAAGGCGCTGCTTGGGAGGCAATCCAAGGGGAGTTCGTTCCCTTCTCTTTCTTTTTATTTTCATTTATGCATTATCTCTAGGTTTAGTCCATATATTATTCATTGCATTTCTTTTATTTTCATTTTCTGCATCACCCTTTCCATTGAAAACTTTCAAACTTTTTATACTTCAACTCATGTGATTCACTTCGGTACTCAGGTCACTTCTTTCCTTACCTTTATTTGACAGACATGTTTTTGCATTGAGGACAGTGCAATGTTTAGTTGGGAGGGAGAGTTTAACTTAAATCTTGTTGTAAATTGCATGATTTACATGGAATTTTGGCCTAATTTTTTTTTAGTCCCCAATTCACTACAAGTTCTTGAATGACAATATATGCCACTAGGAATTAATATTGTTTATGAAAGTTTAGATGTTGAGACATTTGCTGAATCTTTTTGCACACATAAGCCTTGTGGTAAGATAGCAGTTTAACACATGTACTAGAGTAGTTTCTTGCTGAAATTTTCTCATGAGAGTTAGTGAGGATCGAGAGCCACCTTGCACTAAAATAGCAATGAGCATTCATTGATTTTGTGAATTGGAAACTCTTTTGAGAATATATGATTTGTGGTAAGATGGTGAATTACTTGGGAAATGATGAAGGTCAATTTAGGATTAACATATAAGCCTTTCAAGCCTTCATTTTCAATAATTACAATCCCTAGTAGCCATGTTGAGCCATACATACATGGATAGCCTTTTTATGTTATACATACTTCTCTACATTGGAGTATAGTCTATCCACGTATTTACCCAACTTTTTACTTGAATGCTTATTTGTGAAAAATAAAATGACAAGAGTTAATATGTGCTCAAGCAAAACACCCCTAAAAAAAAACAAGAACAAAAACAAAAAAACAAAAATTTTTTTTGATTGATTTTGGAGTTGAAATATGAAGAGTGTTAGATCAAAAGATGTAATCTATCGAGATGCTTGATTAGATGCCTAGCTACATGCTTGGAAGTCCTTGAATCTTTATATCCTCATTTTCATATAACCTAACTCAAACCACATTACAACCTTTTACATTGACCATTTTGATCTCAAATATTATTGTGGTAAGAAAGTGATGGGTTTTCATTTGATAGTACGCTTGTCATAAAATCAATGTTCGCTTGTTGCTCATTCATAAACATTTAAGCCTCCAATTTTGAGTGTATCCCTTTCTCAGCTCCATAAAGAGAAAACTGCACTAAACACGTTGATACCCATGAGTCGTAGAGCTGTACCCCTAGGTCAAGACATACTTGATGTTGCATGTGTTTGGGTTGGTGGTAAGATGGCTATGACTTGACACACACTCACACATTTGGCAAGTGTTTTTGATATCTTGATGATCATGGCATTGTTAAATTCTTGTGGTGTTGAGTTTGAAAGGGACATGGCATGTGCTTAAATTGAAATTTAATAATTTCTTTGTATCATCGACCAATCACTCATTTGCTCATTTTGCATTAAATTGCTAGGGACTAGCAATAAGCAAGTTGGGGGCGCGATAAGAGTGCAAAATATCATAATTTTCCCCTCTTAATTACTACATTCATGTTACTATTTAATACCAAAATGCACTTATTAAACTTATGCTTTGATTCAGGTAGCATTTTGGTAGAAAAATTAAAATTTAAAAGAAAAGAGCGAAAATGACAAAAATGGAAGAAAGTAAAAGTTTAGGGATCAAGTTGCAAATAATTTATAATAAGACGGGTGCTGGAATGATGATTCAAGAAATCTAGGAGTCAATTGGGTGTAATTTGAAGTCAAAAGAAGTGAAATATGACCAAAACATCTTCACAAATCAATTCCCAATTGAAAAAGTTACGCATCGATTTTCAACCTTATATTGGAACCTATTTTTTGACATGGAAAACGACAGATCTAAAAATTGATGTCCGAATCAAAGTTGTAGCCCTTTGTGTTAAATTTCTATTGCAACTTGAATCACCTCAATCGGACATTGGAAGAGAAAGTTATGACTAAAATACTAATGACAATAACCATGCGACCGCATGGTTATAAAGCCATGCGGTTGCACAAGCACCTCCAGGGAATTCCAGAGGCCAAAATGTTTCTACCATGCAATCGTAACACTTAACTGTTTCCACAAGTATTTAAACCCTAATCTCGATCAGAATCCCTACCATTCATTCTCTACCACTTTTCTTTGGTTTTTGGCTCAAAAAATCCATGGAGAACTAAACTTATTGGTGAAGCCACTAAGGAACTCGGTTAGATTTGGGAATTTTCATGTCTTTTCTTGCTTAAATGCGTTCTTTCATTGTTAAATAATTCTAAATTTAGATTTCTTATTCTTATGAACATGTTTTGAGGTTGGTTTAATTTATATTAAATTTTCATGGATCAATCACCTTTTTTTCCATCGAATAATTGAAGTACTTATTGAATTTCAATCTTCAATCTTTTGTTGGTGTGATTCTCTATCATTATATGCTTGATGTATATAATCACTTTTGGATCTAATTTCAATGGATTATTGTAGAATTATATTATGAAAGAAATCTAGATTTGGGGAATTATTGTGGAATTGAATAGGTTTGAAGGTTAAAATTTTCAATTAAAGTGTTGGGATGAAAACCTTTAATTGAGTATTCTCATGCAAAAATTGAAATTAATTGAACCAATCTAATCGAGGGAATTTTAGCGCTTCACTATTTCATATATTGATATCAAACTTTTACTTCAATTTATTTCAATCGACAAATTATTTTCACACAAATCACGACAAAAACCCTCAACTTTTGATTCTTTAAATAATTTTTCATCTCCCTGTGGATACAACACCCCAAAGCTGTACTACAATCATCGCGTTAATCTTTGGGCGTAATCATGTGATGAATTATGGGACCCTTGTATAGTATTTATAGTAACAAAGTGGTTGAGTTATTATAGAAAACGTATACCACCTATGGGATAAAACGAAGTTTGAGTATTTAGATTATATAACAAATTCATAGTCATCCCAAATAGGATACTTGGACAATGCTATCACATCAAGCCCATTGGAGTTTGAGTTGGCTAAATATTATAATAAAATAAGATAGAATATAATGGAAAAGAAATTGTAGTTGTAGCCACTTACGTGTGGTACCAACCACCAAAACTAATTAAAAATCTTGATAAAGACAACTTTTTTAATTTCAATATCTTTGGCTAACTTATCAAAATTAACTTTTTTCGAGCCAAAGAATTCTAATTAATTACAACCTTCAAAATGAGTCCAATATCGATATACCAAATCTTGTTCCATCATTATCTAATTATTTAACCTAACTAAAATAGAAATTATAATCATGTTCCATTTTAGTCCCCAACCTTTAAAAATGTAACAAATTTTTGTTGTATTTTTTCAAGTGCTACAATCTACCCTCTTTAAGAGAATTTTGTGCTCGAAATTACCTGTGTTCGAGTTCCCTATGGCCAGTCCCTAGGCTAAAGTAAAACCTTGGGCCTTTCTCTTCTTTTCTAGCTCATCATTCTTCTTTAAAGGTTCTTCTTTGCAGTTTTTGGAATTATGTCATGTTTTACCGCATCGATAACACACATGCTTCCCAAACAGATATTCACCATATGCATTCGGCTTCACTTTGGGCAGGGTGAAACGACTTGTCCAAAATTTGATCCAAAGTTAACATTCATGTTCTGTCCTTCTCCTTTCTCTCCGTTGGATCCATTCCATTTCCTCTTTGCTCAAGGCTTGGGTCCTTATTGAGGAGTTTGGTCAATTTTCAGCCTATTTCAAATTGCATAGGCAGTCTACAATACCCGACTTTAGGTGATGAATTGGTGGGATGCCAATATTCCACCAATCTCAGGACACAACCCTAGTTCAAACCTCCTTACTCTCTTTGCTTATGTGTCGACTAGGTGTGGCACATACCTAGAGACTTGTTTGAATTTTCTCTCATAATTCTCAAGCTTCATTTTTCCCTATTTAAGTTGAAAAAATGTCTCCATTTGATCCCTCAGAGCTTGGGGGAAGCATTTTCCCATCATTTCATCCTTGAATTGTGTCCAAGTCAGAGCATGTTACTGCGCTTCTATTCTAGTGTGCGACGCTAACTCCCATCAGTTGCCTGCAGCTTCAACCAACATGAATTCTACACATAATACCTTCTAAGCATAAGTGCAAGATAAATATTTGAAGATTCGCTCCATCTCTCTTATCCATTCTTCAGTTGCCCACTGGTCTACTTTGCCATAGAAGGTTGGGGATTTATTGCGATGAAACTGTTTCACAATTAAGTTGGCGTTGTTAGTGTTTGCATTTTGGGAATTATCTTTTGCTTGTTGTCTACCCAGATCTTGTACAGCCCTCAACAAATCCCTAATGACCATAGCTTGATTTTGTTGTTGTCTTCCCATTTAATAAACACAAATAAAATCTTAATTTAGAAATATTTGATAGCACAAAAATAACCATAATAATAATCTTAATGATGGCGATTTTTTTTTTCAAATCCTTATATATAGTGTTTTGTTTTAAAAAATAATACCAAATAAGAAAAAAATAAGTAATTTTTTCCTAAGCAAGCAACTAACATCTATTTCTAATTATTATTATTATTACTTTCCTTCTTTTTTGAGTCCTCAGAGTCCTCTTTTGGTGGAGTCTCATCATCTGAGGTAATGCATGATTCTGGCTCAGATTTCTAGTCAATCTTTAACTCAAGTTCTAGTTCGAACCTTGGTTCCTACTCTGATTCTAGTTCTGGTTCTAGTCCCGATAAATACTCTAGCTTGTTCTTTGAATTAGATTCATAACTCAACTTCTCTTCTGGGTCTTCCTCAGGGTTCTCTTCTAGCTTGGGTTCGAGATCGAGAGTAGAAATCCACCTATCTAGAAAAGTTTCACAATACAGCTCGAACCCGACCCTTTCTGGGTGTTCTGGAAGGTTACCTTTTAGCATTTCATCCCGAACCACAATGCCCATGTCTCCCACTGTGGGGGTAGTGTATGGATAAAATTGTTAACAACTTGAAAGGGTATAACCTCATGTTCTATACCTTTTGCCGCAGCACACCTAGCGATGACTTTCTCCACATGCTCAATAAGTGTATGAGTGGGGTTCGCTCATAATTCTTGTAGGCTTGGATAACTGCCACCCTATGGTTTAGAACAACCCTACAATTCGTTGTCTTCCTAGCTATCTCTCTAGTTCTAGCCATGTCTGTCACATACAAACTAAGTCCAATTATGTTTAATATTTTATTAATGGTAACACATTGCCTTTTATGCTCGCATAAATAATATTTAAAAATTTAGCTAATAAGTCACGCGTGGTATCATAATTATAAATTTCATGACGTGTAGAAACATGAGTCATAACTATGCCAGAAAATTAAAAGAATTCATTCCATACCCGGGATCAATTGGAGAGTAGTTCAGTGGTGAGCGGTGCGTGCTAAGAATTCTTCATCTCATCGTATGCTTAAAAATTTTCATTGTCCTAATGTTTAAAAATAATCTACCTTTATTTATATATATATTTTTTGAAATTTCCTAAAAGAGGATGCCTCTAAAAATAAAAATTTCTAAAATTGGAATTTTTTCTTAAATCTAAGATGGTTCGAAATACTGTTTTTTTTTTTTGTCTTATTGAGTTGAATATTGCGCAACCAAAAGGCTTCTAGATGAGTAGGGAGGGTCGCAAGTAGACTGCTTAAATCTCAATCTCTTCTTAGACAGTTTAGGTCTTTTTGACAAAGCATCTCAATTTTGCAAGTATGCAATTCAAGAAAACTCAAACAATAAGTGAAACATAAAATCTCTTAAGATATGAATTTTCTATTGGTAATTTTTTCCCACTCACATAGTATAGTTAAGCACATAATTATTTATAACATGTGAAATTCAAAACATGAGAGTTAAAATCACTTTAAATTCTAAACTACTATCATTCAAAATCAATTTAAACACAAACATCTATCCTTCAAAATAGGAAAAGAAAAAAAAAGTTCCATTTTTTTATAAATTTTTTTTGTGCTACTGTTCATGCACCGTTCATCAAACTTTTTTTTTATTACAAAAACGTTTATAGGAAAGTAAAATCGGGCTCTGATACCATACTGTAATTGATATGATCCGGGCTAGGCGCCAAATTCTCAATTATTTGACGATTGTTGGAGGTCAGTTAATACCAAGATTCAAGCTCATTTCCAGGCTAAAAAGGGTTGATAAAGATGGCAAATCTCATAATCAAGATTTGAAATTCAAAATGTGGGAATTAACGTGCAATGTACAAGTTCCATGGTTGGCAGGAAGAGACTAAGTGCAAAATTGGGTTTGCTCATAGCCAATGAAATCATGCAATAAATCATCGAGGTTATCGGGCTACAAAGGATGATATTTTCAAGCTTAATGTCAAGTTACATGTTAGTCATAAAGGCGAAATCATGTTAGGTTCATTGGATTCAAAGTTTTAGACGATATATGGAAAAACGGACAGTGTGGATTAAAATGGGCAAACTTTTAGCTCGAGAGTCGGATTTTTTACCATGAGTACAATCTGGAATCGTCACGAAATTCTGCACAAGGAGGAGGAGATTTTAGAAATTAAACTATGCAATTGCGTAGCTTAAAAGCCATGCGACCGTATAGGCTAATCCTGAGACAAAATTGAGGCTAACTATTTGTTCTATGCAACTGCATTGATTTATACTATGCGACCACATAAGCTATTCGTGAGACAAAATTGAGGCTGACTATTTGTTTTATGCGATTGCATTGATTTGTACTATGCGACCACATAGTATACTTTGGGGACCAAAGTTTCAATTTTTCTCGAATTTTTTATTTTGAGTAGAATTCTAATCTTTTATTATTTTTAGGACTATTAAACGTATTTTTACCTTTTTAATTAGAACCTAGGGTTTTCATATAAATAGGACTTTATTTTCTTTATACTGGAACTTTTGACATTTGAGAGATTAATACAAAGGGTTGTTTTGTTTCAAATTTCTTGTTCTTTGAAGAACAAATCGAACTTATCAAGATTTGTTGATCTTGTGGCGTTCAAAACAAATCCAAGTGAGATTTATAAATTGTGTAATTAAGCGATCGTTAATTTTACATAATAACGGTTGCTTAATTTATCGTTTGCGAATTAAATCCAAAACAAACGATTTTTGGCTTTCTTGGGATCCGTGTCAATCTAGTTGCGGGTTCGTTAGTGGCCGTGTTAACTGGTTCACATATGTAACACTCCAAATTTTTATAAACGCTGGAGTATTATGAATAACTCAATTTTCTTTTTAATAATTGCAGAACAATTCAAATAAAAAGAATTTTTTATTTTCCACCATAAATATCAATTTAAAATTAATGACGAGTCTTTGAATGAATAGAACTAACAAATAATTTAGAGACATAAAAAGAAAACCTAATGTTTATTTTCCCTTTTCCTTGGATCCCCCTAGCAGTCCGCATCACCAGTTCTCCATAGTTCCAATTGACCCAAATTAACCTGAAAGAAATTTGTAAAAGTGAGTATTTGAAAACACTCAGTAAGATACATGCAGTTTTCACACATTTATATAACAAATAAAATCTACACTTCATATCACTCTGCTCTTATTAAGTATATGGGTGACCAAACGACACACTCATCTTAGGTCTTCTTATTACCCAATAGGATTTCATCTCTCTTTTTATAAAACCCAAAGGTCAACAGCAATCCATGCATATTTAATTGAATATAAAAGTATAAGGAAACAAAAATACTTGCACAAAAGTATCTTAGTTTGTTAAATAAAATGAGCTATTGAACAAAATGGGAATGCAAATGCCCAAAATATTTTCTCTGCTTCAGTGAATAATGGTTGCAAATTAGTTTCTTGTCTTCTAATTCTCAAAAATATCCCTTCTCTCTCTCTCTCTCTCTCTCTCTCTCTCTCTCTCACGTGTGTATAAATTTTTGTGTGGTGAATTATGGGACCCTTGTATAGTACTTATATTAAAAATGGTTGAGTTATTATAGAAAATGTGTACCACCTATGGGATAAAACTAAGTTTGGGTATTTGGATTATATAACAAATTCATAGTCATCCAAAATAGGACACTTGGACAATACTATCACGTCAAGCCTATTGGAGTTTGAATTGACTAAATATTCTAATAAAATAAGATAGAATATAACTGAAAAGAAATTGTAATTGTATCCACTCACGTGTGGCACAACCCACGAAAACTAATTAACAAATCTTGATAAAGACAACTTCTTTGAATTCAATATCTTTGGCCTAACTTATCCAAATTAACTTCTTCTCGAGTTAAAGACTTCCAATTAATTACGACCTTCAAAATGAGTCCAATATCGATACACCAAATCTTGTTCCATCATTATCTAATTATTAAACCTAACTAAAATAGAAATTAAAATCCTATTCCATTTCAATCCCCAACTTTTAAAAATATAACAATTTTTTTCTTTTTTATTCTATTATTTTTTCGGGTGCTACAACCTACCTTCCTTGAATGAAGTTTGTCATCAAAATTACCTGCGTTCGGGTCTTCCTTTGCCTGTCCTTGGGCTGAAGCAAAATCTTTGGCCTTTCCCTTCTTTTCTGGCTTGTCATTCTTTCTTGAAGGATCTTCTTTGCTATTTTTTGAAATATACCCTTTTTTACCACAGTAACAGCAAACATGATTCCCAAACAAACATTCACCACTATGCATTATGTTGCACTTTGGGCATGGTGAAATGACTTGT